TCCCGACTTAATCCTTTTCGGTCAAATCTCTTTTCTTGTTTCTCTTCTTTTCTTTCAGTGTTTCTTTGTTTCTTTCCTTTTCTTTCTTGTTTTTGTTTAATTTTCTTTGTTTCACTTTTTTCTTCATCACCCCTTTTCTTGTGTTCTTCTTCAGACATTATTCTGTTTTCTCTTTCTTTGTTCCTTTTGAAGGGTTCTTTCTTTATTATTACTTCTAGTATTTTTACTATCCTCTTCTTTTATTTTCTCTTCATCACTCTTCTCTCATTCATTTATACCTCTTTTCCTTTGTGTTCTAAATACCAATGAACCACCACCATTGTTACTTCTTCTCCATCATTAAAACAAGAAGAACTAAACAATGTGAAAACAACATTTTCAGATAAAAACAAAAAGAAAAGAACTAAGAATATTTCATAGTGGAATGAGTGAAATACCATCAAACCCAGTGACTGTTTCTCAATACTCATATTACTCAGATAAAAATTATCCAAAACGAAGAACAATGGAAGTTTGTTTTCAAGAATCAAAAGAAATAAAAAAGAGTTAATTCAAATAGGATGCTCATGTTATTTGTGATCCATTAATTGAAATAGAAGGTCATATCTATTCATTATATGCAATCTTTGATGGGCATAGAGGACGTACAGCAGCACAGCATTGTGCTAAAATTGTTAAAGATAAAATTAAAGAAGTTTTACAAAGAAAAGATGAAGAATTTAAAGAAATGATGCAAGATGCAATGTACGAAATGGATATGAGTTTAAAAGAAAATGGAATTGAATATTCAGGATGTTGTGGATTATTGTGTATTATTGAAATAAAAGAAAAGAAAAGAATAATTCATATGGCAAATTGTGGAGATTCATGTGGAATTATTATAGGAACAAATGACATAATTTCAATGAGTGAAGAACATAAAACAACAAATGAAGATGAATCAAAAAGAATTAAAGAAAGTGGTGGAATGATAATAAACGGAAGAGTCAGTGGAGATGTAGCGAATTACACGAGGATTAGGAGTATCATCATTTGAAACAATGG